CGCTAGCAGCACATGCCTGGCGCGCTCGCCAGCACAGGCCTGGCCTTCGGGTGGAAGGCCAGGCAGCTCGGGCAGCAACGCGGACCGACCTGGAACGCCAACGCCCAGACTCATCGGATTGATCGTCCAAGGTCTCGCGGCCCATGTGGTGACAATCCCACCAGCCTTCTGGGCGTCGGTTGTTAAGAACGTTTCCTCTTCCACCCCTCCTTCCACTTCGGGGAGGGGTTTACCCCTCCTACCACCCCCTCTCCTGGACCTGGACGGCGGGTTCGCGCGTCGTCGGGGCGTTCAAAACGGCCTCGGCGGGGAAGCCAATGCACTTGGTTGTGCTAGGGTGTTTGCCCATGTTGGCCTCTTTAGGAGGGGTGCTGCAATTCCTCTCCCCCTCCCGTGATCGATCTCACCCAAGATGGCCCAAATATTACCCCCAGGGCTCCCAAGGGTGCCCCGAGAGGGCCCCAAGAGGTGGCCAGGATGCCCCAGAAGGCTCCCAGGGTCCCCCCACGAGGCCCCCAAGAGACAACCAAGAGGCCCCCAAAGACCCCCCAAAGGCACCCACGATGCCTCAAGAAGCTTCGGCGAACATGCCAAAGCATTGAGTTCACTAAGGTGTTCGCCGCATATTGGACTGATTGGGATGACTCCAAGAGCGCCTGGGGAGCTTAAGATGACCTCCAGGATGGCTCAAGATATCCCACGATGTCTCAGAATGGCTTCCTCCGCATGCTGCCCACTTCCCTGATCGAGGCAAGTCTTCTGGGCATCGTTTCTGGGTGGGCTGGTTGCGATTCGCGAAGCGTCAACAAGTGCTTTTCGAGCCCCACGGGGGCCCGCCGCACAGCCGACGTTTCGGATCCGCTTGACCATGATGCGACGTCGGTCTGCACAGCTGTCACAGCGCGAGCAAAAACGTTTGCAGCACGCCATTGCCATGCTACCCACACGCATCTTCGAGCCACCGTGGCACATGACGCGCCTTGCGATCCTGATTTCTGACACGTGAAACGGGCACCTGCTGAAATCATTTCTCATGATGGCAATGGCGGGCAGCGCCAGGGCTGCGCGGGGCCAACTACCTAGGACTCCGAAAGCAAGCTGATGCCCGAGGCGGCCACGAACGCGGCCTTCGACTGGCTGATGACCTTCTTGGCCTGGGCAGCGTTCACCGTGTCCTCCAGCAGGAGCTCCTCGGTGGCGTCCCCGAGCTTCTTGATGGCAGACATCGCCTCTAGACTCAACGCATCATTACCGTTCGTGTTCGATCATCCTCCTCCTCCTCCTCCTGCTCCTGCTCCCCCTCTTCCTCCTCCTCGCCCTCCTCCTCCTCCGCCTCCTCCTCCTCCTCCTCCTCCCGCCCGCCCGCCGTCCATATTTCCCTCCCTCCCTCCCTCCCTCCTCCTTCCTTCCTCCTGCATACCCCCCCCCATTCCCCATCCCCATCATCATCAGCATCAGTCTCGTCCTCATCCTCCTCTTCTTCTTCGGGCCGTTGTTTCGCACTGCCCTCCACGAGTCGAGGTGGGTCGTGAACAACGGCCCCACGACCAATGTGGGCCGCTTTCAGCAACCTCAACACCACCACCGCCTCCTAGTTCACCTCCTGTTCCTCATCCTCCTCAGCCTCGTCCTCATCCTTTTCATCCTCCCACTCCTTGTCCTTAATCCTCCGATCCCCCCTCCTCCTCCTTCTCGTCATCATCGGCATCCTCCCCGATGTGCCGCAGTCTCACCACCCTCAACATCCAAATCACCTTCCCCCGACTCATCCTGTTCGTCTGCCCCCAGTGTTGCCATTCCAGTCATCGGCCCCCTTGCCATTCATACATCATAAGTTCGCCCTCATCCCCAGCTGGCCTTCTTGGCCTGCTCCACGTCCTTGCTGCTGCAGCCGTCGCTCTGCTGGGCGAGCCTGGCGATGTTGATCAGCGCGCTGCCGCCGTCCTAGGGCGACGAACGAGGGGCGACGAACCACGACGACGACGGCGACGGCCACGACGGACGACGGACGGCGACGACGACGCGCCATCGGCCAAGTGCCCTGAATGGGTCCCGATCGAGCAAGCGGTGCATGGTCTGGTCTCTCCTTCGTTCCTCCTCATCGATCTCTTGCTCCGCCCCTTCTCCGAAGGAGAGGGGAAGGAGGGATGATCCTGATGATGATGATGCTGATGCTGATGGTGCTGCTGCTGCTGCTGCTACTGCTGCTGATGGTGGTGACGATGATGATGGTGACATGATGATGATGCTGATGATGATGATGATGATGATGATGATGAGGATGAGGATGAGGATGAGGATGAGGATGAGGATGTGGATGAGGATGATGATGTGGAGGAGGAGGAGGAGGAGGAGGAGGAGAAGAGGAGTAGAGGAGTTGAGGATGAGGGGGGGAGGATGGGGAGTAAGATGAGGGGAGGCGGAGGACTATGAGGAGGAGGATGTGGAGGAGGAGGATGAGGCGGAGATCGAGGCGCAGGAGCAGATCCAGGAGAGGAAGCGGGGACCATGACGGGATAGTGACATCGGCAGCCGTAGGGCGAGGTGACATGGGACGGCGAGGGGAATGACGTTCAGTCCGGGTCTCCTTCGTCGCTTTGTCAATCTTTTGCAAGAACTCGATGGCCTTCGCCTGGAACGTCGCGCTGTCCGCTTTGATGTCGTTGACCGTCTCGCAGCACACCTTGGGCTTCTTGATGTCACGCTTCATCTCCTGCAGCGCCTTGGGCTGGCGGGCATGTCATGGTCGAGCCTCCCGCTTGGGTGGCCCAACCATATACATACCCTGCCACGCTGTGGCATTTCACAAGTCATCACCGCTCCAACCTGACGCTCTCAAAGCGGAGCTGGCAGTTGCCAGCTCCGTTTTGGGAGCGCCAGGTTGGAGCGGCCCTTAGCGGGTATAGGCGGCACCCAAGGCGCAGAATTAGGCGCGTCTACGGGCGTGGATGTTGAGTGGGATGACCAGGCTGGCACATCGATTGGATATTCAGGCGGAGGAGGGCCCCGACCAGGAGGATAGGGACCAGGACATGTCCGACGACGGGGGGGGGGGGGGCAGGGCGAGGGTTGAGGAGACCGATGTCGGAGGGAGTAGAGCGCGAGCTTCGAGTGGTGGTTGTTCCATCAGATGCCTTCTTCTTGTTGCCGCGCCCGCGACCCGCCTCTGGCTCGTCATCATCCCTGTCGGCCACGCCAGGCAGGTCGAGGCCCATGTGCGACATGTTGCCTGCGAGCGAATGCACGGTTATAGGGGGCGCGGAAACACGAACAGGAGTGGTATGGGAGCGAGGGTGGAGGGTGCACATCAGGCTGTTTCACGGGTTCGACCGTGACCAGGCCGAGGGGGGACGTACAGGGATTCGTACAGAATATGGGGGTATGGAACATGTTATTTTCTTTGTTACTCATCTTCCTCCTTTCCACCGAACCACCGTGCCTCTCCCCCATCGCAATGATCTGCCTACTCGCCCTCATCCTGATGACGATCCTGTTCCTGCCAGGGACCTCCCCTTGCTGCCCATGCCGTCTCCTCATCCTTCATGTTCCTCCCCATATCTCTCCAGCGTCGCTTCGACGCCCAAGTGCCGTGGCTCACGAGATCCGTGCACATCTTCATGCCTGCCATGCCTGCGCCAAGCTCGTCGAAGGCGTCCCTCGAAATGCTCTTTTTGCCAGTGCCGCCCTGCTCTTTGCTGCGAGTGAACCGCTTCTCACCAGCGTCCTGGATCAGCTGGAATTGCTGGCGCCGCGGGTTGTCTGGGTTCGGGCGAGTCTGGGAGCCAAATCGATACATATAAACGTGGAGTGGTGATAAGGAGGGGGGTGGAACGAGGGGGGTGGTTCAATCACACCAGCCCTTCAGGGCGTAGGTGGTTTAGGGTGTAGTGTTTTACATGTGCCCCTCTTCACCTTGGGGGGCATGTCCCCTGCCCCCTCCCCATGGACCTGGGCGAGGGGTCCCGCCAGGAGTTTGAGCGTCCAAGATGGCCCGAAATGGCTCCAAGACCGCCTCGGAGAGCCCAAGATGAGCTCCAATATTGCTCAATGTATCCCGAGCCTCAAGGTGGCCCACACGTTGTTCCAATAGGCCCCACCACTGCTCTACGACGGCTCCAAGTGGCCAAAGAGCTCACCAAGGAGGGCCCGAAGAGGCAAAACTCGTGTCCAAAAACTAAGGGACACCATTGTGTTGATGTATTGACGTTTCGCTTCGGATGGCCTTCCGAGGCCTCAAGGCGGCTCCAATATGCCCATTATTGTCCCATGAGGTGTCCGCGGGGGCCTCAACGCGGACCCAAGAGCGTTCGAGGGTGCTCCAAGATCGCCCCAAGAGGGCATCAATAGGCGACGGTAGGCACTGTATAATGGCGAGGGTGATTCGGAACCCCATTTTTTTAACCGATGCCCCCCAAGGTGCCCCGAAGAACGCCCCCCCAAGGCACCCGCGAGTGCACCAATTATGCCCCCAAGAGGCGTCCAGGAGGTCCCAAGAGGCGCACGCGCTGCCTAAAAGGGACCCCACGAGATCCCCAAGAGGCTTCAAGGGGACCGCCGAGGCTAGGCATCAAACCACCAAGTCACAACAGGCATCCGACGAGGCTCATATGTTCGTACGTCGTTAGTCTCCTCCTCCTCCTCCTCCTCCTCCTCCTCCTCCTCCTCCTCACCCTCCTCCCTCTCATCCTCCCCCTCCTCAGATTCCAGCCCATCCTCCTCCTCATGATCCACTTTGTCATTATCCGCCTGCTCCTCCTCCTGCCCCTCCGACTTTCTGATCCCTCCTTCCCCCGCATCGGACGGCGTACCCCGCCTCGTGTCCTGCGTGCTACCTCACTTCCCTGATCACCTCAACTCATCTTGACATCGTTTCTGGACGGGATGGTGGGGGTACGCGAAGCGTCAGCGGTTGGTAGGGTAGATGTCCAATTCTTCCTCCCCTCTCACGTCCACCCAATAGATGGGCGGGTGCCCTGTGCACGTGCGACACCCATCGGAACCTCGATCTTGTCGTTCGCAACCATCTCGTCCAGCTCCGAGTCCGAGTACACCTCCAAGGCCCGCTTCCTAGTGCACCACTTCGCCGTCCTGGTGATCGTCTCGCTGAAGCTCAGCCTCTGCGTGATCTCCATGAACGTGTCGCCCAGCTGCGGGTCCACGAGGAAGCCCATGAGCAGCTTCTGCTTGGAGAGCTGCTTGCCAGTCGACGCCGTCGACGCCTGGGGCCCACGTGGCTGGGCGAGGGGACATATGAGGCGGAGATGGACGAGGGCGGGCGAGAGGATGAGTGCATGAGGCTAGGGAGGGTGGTCACACGGTGCCGTATCTGGGGCAGGTTTTATGGTTGAGCGCGTGGCCTCGACGCATGAGCATGAGGCAGGGAGGGAGGGGGGCAGAAGAAGGAGGAACAGGAGGAGGAAGGGAGGGAGGGGAGGAAGAGGAGACGGATGAGGCGGAGGATGAGGAGGAGCAGGACCAGGACGAGTAGGATGAGGATGAGGATGGGGATGCGGACGGGGAGGAAGGGGGAAGGGGATGATGATGATGATGATGAGGAGGAGGAGGACGATGATGATGATGAGGAGGAGGAGGGGGAGGAGGAGGAGGAGGAGGAGGAGGAGGATGGGGATGATGAGGCCGAGGGAGGGGATGGTGGTGAGGAGGATGAGGACGTAGTCGCATATGGAAGGTTTCCCCCGCGAGCCTCCTCGTAGGCCGCCGCAGCCTTGGGCTTCTTCTTCCTGGCGGTCTCGAACCGTCCATGCAGCGCCCTCGCCAGGGGCCATTGGCGATGCGGGCGCGTCGGGGGCGAGGCGTTCGCGGGCGGGGGCAACGTGACCACGTGACCGATGCCGCCGCCCACGAGCGCGTCGCCCCCGCGTCTCTCCATCGCTGCAGGCCCCTGTTTGAATCAAGATCGGCCTGATCTCCTTGTCCGTAAAGATGCACTTGAGGTGCGCGGGGTCGCTGACGTCGGCGTGGGCCTTGAAGAGGTCCTGCTTCTCCTCGATGGACGCGCAGGCCGCGGCCGCAGACGCGAGCTGCTCGCAGGACCACCTCCGAGCGGAGGTGGCGGGATCTACTCCCTTGCCTTCCCCACCCAGTAGATTGCTCCCTCCCACTCGTTTCCCGCCTCCACTCTCGCCAATATAGATGCACAATGCTCAGTCACACTGCCCAAGGGAAATGCGCGGGAGGGAGCAGGACACGCATGAGGGATTCCAGATGAGGAGATAACATGTATTAATGAAGTGGAAGGCGCAGTAGAAAGGGGGGGAGCGGCCAGGGAGGTGGAGTTCAAGCTCCGCCCACGTCGCTCCATCACCCGCGCTGGCGGGCTTCTTGATCACCGTGGCCCCCGCCTTGGGCTTCCCGCGGACAGCGGGGGCCTTCGCCGCAGCCTTGACCTTCGTCTTCTTCATCACCTGGACCATCGAGCCAGGCAGGCTCCTTGGACGCGTGGGCGTCGGGTGCGGGCTCGACTCTGCGAACCTGGAGCAGCTCGAGCCTCGCGCCTCTCGTGAGAGTCCGAACGATCTGTCCAGTCTGGCACCGCACGGGCCAGCCTCCGAGAACCACGTGTGCAGTCGAGCAACGTAGTTTCATGTGAGCGCGTGCGTGCGCGGTGAGTTTTTTTTTTTTTTTTTTTTTTTTTTTTTTTTTTTTTTTTTTTTTTTTTTTTTTTTTTTTTTTTTTTTTTTTTTTTTTTTTTTTTTCTCCATTTGTTTTTTTTGCTTGTGCGTGTGTGCGCGCATCGTGTGTTTTACTGATGTGACTGCACGATTGGTTCTCGGCTGCATCACGTCGGTCTGACGCCAATCTGACGTCAGTCTGACGTCATATGATCGATCTGACAAATGTCTGACGTCAGTCTGACGTCATACGATATGTCTGACGTTCGTCTGACGTCAGATGTTTGTCAGATGGATCACCTGACGTCGGACTGACGTCAGACTGACGTCAGACCGACGTCAGATTGGCGTCAGACTGTTGATATACGTTTACATTGCGTTTGTTTCTGTACCTGATCATCGACCGTGCGATGGGGGTGCGGTCACACTGCAAACGAGGACGGGCTGCATATCGGCAGGAGCGAGGGATGCCCGCCGAGGAGGGAAGACTGCACGACGGGCAGGGACTGTTGAGCGACGGGGGAGGGAGGATCGACGGGGAGGGAGATAAAACCATATAGCTAGATACCATACCACATGAACGGACATGGCCAACCGAGAGCGAGGGAGACACGATGAGAGTGGCATGGAGTATGGGGGGGGGGGGGATGCGGGGAGAGAACGGAACGATATAACGTGATGAAAGAAGTGGAGGACATACATGGAGTAGAGGGAAGCGTGAGCGATGAGAGGGGGATACGTGGGACTCGACGATATCATCCCTCGTCCATCGCCCTTCCACCCGTCCTCCACCATCCCCCCTCCATCCTTACATTCTCAGTCCTTCCATTCTCAGTCCTTCCCCTCTCTGGCATCCCCCATCCGTCTCCCTCCGTTCTGCGTGCCTCATATGATGTCTTGCGCACCTACTCCATCCTCCTTGTATCCACCCCCGTGCGCTCGCACATCCGGCCCCTGTCGCTCTCGATCCCTCCATGCCCGCCCCCCCTCTCCCCTCAATGACCACCCCCCATCTCGCCTCCACCCTTCCTCTATGACTACTCCGTCTAGCTATCCGTTCCCCATCCACACGCCAGCCATCGGCCATTCTCTCTCCACCCTACTGTCCCATCTTCCGCCCGCGCCTCCACCTTGCATCGCCAACATCCTCCATCGGCATTTCTCCTGTTCCTCACCCTCTTCCTCCTCTAGCGCCCCCCTCTTCACCCTCCTCATCCGCGCACCCACCCTCATCGCTCGGCACGATCGGCGGCCTGGAAGCAAGGGGCCGCTCGACGTGGGAATGAGACGGCGAGGAGGAGGACGAGGGGGGCGTGGCGGCCGAGCCGCAACCGCACCTTCAGACAGGATCCTCCTTCATCCTCACCCCCATGCTCCCCATCATCTTCCTCATCCTCCTCCTCCTCCTCCTCCTCCTCATCCCCCTCCTCCTCCCCTCATCCTCCACCTCCGCGTACTCCCCCTCCCCCTCCGCTGACCGCCACGTCAGTTAGCGACATCTAGCGTAAACGGGTGGGGTGGGGGTCGGGGAGGGTCGAGAATTGTTCGTGACCCCACATACACGCCTACACATCACGCGTGGGATGTCGAAGCTCTGTTCGGTCACTACCAACTTGACCAGTCGTATACACTACCATGTGAATCCCAACAGCCCTTTATGGCGTGCGTGTGTGATCCAGCGTGTCGCGTCGTCAGTCTGCCCCTGTTCCCCTTCGGGGAGGGGTGTGTTCCCCCCCCATGCCCATCCCGTGGACGTGCATGGTGGGCAGGGGGGAGGGGTTGGAGCGTACAATCGGGCACAATATGGCTCCGAGAGCACCTCGCAGAGCCCAAGATGAGCCCAAATATGACTCACGATACCCCACGGTGGCCAAGATGGCCCCCACGATGGTACAACATAAGCTCCAATACAGCCCCAAGGCGGCTCCAACTGGCCAACGAGCTCCCCAATGAGGCCGTGAATAGGCAAGCACGTTTCCAACACCTAGGGGGAAACAACGTGTGCGACTATCTCGCATAGTCGCTTCCGACGGCCCTCCGAGGCCTCACGATGGCCCCGCGAGGGCTCACGCGGGCCCCAGAGAGGCCCACGTCAGCCCCAAGGGCGTCCACGTGTGCTTCAAGAACTCACCAAGAATGGCCCAAGAGGCGATGCTCGGCACCCTAGAACGGCGAGGGTAAGCATGGATCTCGTGTTTGATCGATGCCCTCCAAGATGGCCCGACGAGCGTCCCATGGCACCCACGCGTGTCCCAAGAGGGCCCCAATAGTTGTCCAGACGGCCCCACGAGGCGCCCAAGCTGCCTCGAAGACGCCCCCAAGGGGTCACCACGAGGCTGCAATAGGCCACCCCAGGCACCCGAGATGTCCCCCCCCATCCCCCAAATTTTCCCAGAGGCGCCCATAAACACGTACAAGACATGCCCGATGATGTTCTTAGGTTTGGCACTTTTTCCCGATTCCCCCCTCCTTTTTCTGCATAGTATGTATCGTGTTCTTCCTCCTCCCTTTCCTCCTCCTCATCCCCCCTCCTACTCTTCATCCCCCCTCCTTATCCGCTCCATCTTTCTCACCTTCCTCCTGTTCCTCCGCCTCCTCCTCCTCATCATTATCATTCCTCCTCCCCCTCCCCTCGCCTCGGACGGTTCACCCCCGCCTGTTGTTCTTATGCACGGCCCCCTTACTTGATCACCCTAACTCTCCTGGGCATCGTTTCTGGATGGGCTGGTGGTGATGCGCGTGGCGTCAGCTATTAACATGCCGATAACCACGCTTGTTATCGACTCAACCAGCACCTACACCCGTGGTTAGGGCGAGGTATCCATCCGCGAAGCCTTGAGACACTCTAGGACGGGGGTGTGACCATGAGGAGGAGGTGAAGATGTTCGAGGGTCGGGCGACCAGTGGGAGCTCAGCGCACGGACCACTGGAAGCTCCGTTCAACTGCGTTCGAAACTCAACGCGCGGCGAGCATTGGAAGCGCAGCACATACCCCGACAGTGTCGGGCTTCCTGTCCCTGCGCGCGATGCGCGGCGGCAGCAGGCGCTCCCTGGCCTGCTGCGAATACCGTGTGGTCTCCGCCTCCTCCCCGATCCCCTCTTCGACCCCCCCTCCTGTGAGAATCGCAGCGCGCATCTCAACGCTGGCGTGTCGCGTGCCGAGGGTGTTCGGCATCCTCCTCTCCCTCATCGTCCTTGTCCTCCTCTTCCTCCTGGTCAGTATTGCCGTCCCTCTCGGCACGCGTGTGCTACTTCGCGAGAAGTGTGCCACGATGCGAGACGAGCTCCTCTTTCGAGCAGCCCGACCGACATGCGTGCTGCAGAAGTTTGGCCAACATCTCGGCGTGCTTGGCGCACATCGAGGAGCCGACCTGGACCAGAAGTCGTGGCTTGCCTCCCTCGTCCTTGTACGTGACGCACGAGGCACTCGTGCCGTAGCACACGTTGAGCTTGCCGAGCACAGGGTGGTTCCCTGTGCGCGGCAGGTTCTTGAGGTCGGCGATGGTGTTCTTGACCTTGCCGCCCTCGGCCTTGCTCTGGGTCGTGTTCTTGCCCTTGCTCGCGTCCTTGCTGGCGTCCGTGCCGTGGGCCCGCTTCTCCTTCACCTCCGCCTTCGGACGACGTTCAAACCGTGGCAGAGTTTGGAGCTCACAGAGCGGATCTAGTCCCACCAGCCCTCTGGGCGTCGGTGGTTTAGAGCGTTTCCTCTGCCACCCCTCTTTCCCCCCTTCGGGGAGGGGTTTACCCCTCCCCCTACCCCCCCCGTCCAGGCCCAGGATGGGAGGGAGGGGTAGAATGTCAGATATGGCGCGAGCGCACCTAGCTTGCCCCACCCCCTCCCCTGGACCTGGACGGGGGGGGGGTCGCGAGTCGTCGGAGTTTCCAAAACGGCCTCGGCGAGGAAGCCAACCTCATTGTTTGTTTACTAAGGTGTTGGCCTCATGTTGGCCTCTTGGGGGGGCTGCAATTAATAACTTCCCCCTCCTGTGATCGATCTCACCCACGATGGCCCAAAGATGCCCCCCCCCCATGCCCCCAAGGGTGCCAGAGGGCCCCAAGAGGTGGCCAGGATGCCCCAAGGGGCCCCCATGATGCCCGCACGAGGCCCCCAATAGACCCCCAGGAGGCCCCCAACGACCACCCAGAGGCGCCCACGATGCTCCAAGATGCCTCGGCGAGAATGCCAAAGCATTGGTTTCACTGAGGTGTTCGCCACATCTTGGCCTCTTGAGGGGGGCACTGATTGAGGTGACTCCAAGAGCGCCTGGGAGAGCTCAAGATGACCCCCAAGATGGCTCAACCTATCCCAAGATCTCTCAGAATGGCTTCCTCTGCGTGATGTCCACTTCCCTGATCGAGGCAATTCCTCTGGGCATCGTTTCTGGATGGGCTGGTGGGCATTTGCGAGGCGTCAACAATGTTTCTCGATTGTGTTGGTCGCGGCGTTCGGCATTGCCAGAGGTGGACATATGCACATCTCTCTCTCTAAATATATGGGGCATGGGCAAAAGGAGGGACGGGGAGATATTCAGGTTGGCCGTTTGATGTGGGCTCCTCTGTTTCTTGCATTTCCTCTGTCCCTCCGCTTCGGCATCGCTCCGCCTCCACCTTGTCTGCCACCGTGACCCCTGCCCCCTCCACCTCCACCCCCGCTCATCCACACCCTCGTCCACAGCATCGTCATTAGTCTTCCTATCCGTCCCCCCCCTCATCACCACGACCCAATCCTGCCTTCAGCTTCCTCTTCTTGGCTGGCACGGCCTCGGCCTTCATGGCCGACGCCAAGATGAACGCGTCATCCTCGGACTCGGCTGTAGCACCTAGGTCGACCTTGTGCTCGTCGGGCCAGCCCTTCAGCCACTTGGAGAGCTCCTGGCCGCGGGGGAAGTGGGAACCGAGGCAAGGGCGGCTACGTGGATGTTCGGAAGCAGAAGCGCGGGCCAGGTGGGCAGCACAGCGGGACGGTAGAGAAGGTAGAGGGAGGCGAGGCAGGGATATACACCCCCAGGGATGGTTCAGACCTTTGGGGTCAGGTACGAAGACTTGCCGCGGGGCTAACCAGGTGGGCGAGAAGGCGCATGAGACACAGATGTGGTCATGATTGTCAGGAGGGCGTGGATGAGGCAAACTACGGTCATGTAGCACATGCGTACGTATTCCCTTGCCCGTGCGTTGTTGTCCCAAGAACCATGTGAGTCCAACGCTGATGGTAAATGTTGATGGTGGTGATGCTGGTACGGAGGGTGATGCTGATGGCGATGGCGAGTCTGGTGGTGGTTGCGATGCTGAGGGCGGGGGTATCGATGGCGATGTGCGGCGATGATGGTGGCCTAACAATTGCGACGATGTCAATGGTGTTGGTGCCGACGGCATGTTTTATGGTGAGGGTGATGGTGATGGTGGTCGCCATGAGGTTGAGGAGGTTAATCGTGGTAATGCTAATTTTGAGTACGATGATGGCGCCGACGGGGGTGATGAGGTTAACCGTGGGGTGATGACAGCTATGAGTCATGACAACGACGACTACGATGGTGTTGGTGCGGCTGCTGGTGATGGTGGTGGTGTTGCTGATTATGATGATGACGATGATGGTGACGACGGTGCTGATGACGGTGGGCGTGATGGTGATGCTGGTGATGGTAACGGCCATGCGTTTTGGCGATGGTCACGATGCTGGTAACGATGGTGATTACGATTGCAGATTGGTTTGGCTACCCCACACAGCCATCGATGGTGAGTTATGTAACGTAAATCTCGAACGCGAGCAAGCATCTGACACGCAGACCGAAATGCAAGTAAACCTTACGCAAATCGTGCAAGATCAGCATCATGCACCCGTGTCGTTCGTGCGGTCCTTGTAGTAGTCCCAGTATGTGTGTCGGTGCTCAGTCCCCAGCACCGCCGTCCTTCATCCAGGCCGCGAGCTGCAGCAGCAGGTCGTCGCTCAGGGGCGGCTCGTCCTGTGGTGGGCTGTCCTCCATGTTGTCGTAGCTCGCCAGGCGAAGCGTCGGCGCGCCCGAGTCGACGGAATCTGACGACCACGATGGGCGGAGCGAGGTGTCGCGCACGACGTCCACGGGGGGCATCACCACCTCCTCTTTCGACTCGGGTGGCGGAGACGCAACCTGCAGCTGTTTCGCGCGTCGGTGGCTGCCTCCATCTGGGTGGGGCCGAGGTGTCATGGAGAGCATCGGACGAGTCAAGGGGTGCGGGGTGCACTTTCCGACCGCCCCATCACGTCAATCCCAGCCTAACCTATCGCCCCGTTACTCCGAAGCTCTCCATGACGCCCCAACCCCGCCCAGATGAAGGCAGCCACCGACACGCAAAACCACAACCTTCAGCGGGTGCACCATCGAGGCGTCGTAGTCGGACGGCGGCGTCGGCGTGTAGATCGGACTGCATTGCTCGGCGGCCGTCTTCATCCCGATCCTTGCCTTCTTGGAAGGAGGCGTTTCGTTCGGCATTGATGGCATTGAAGCCGCACGCTTTGGCCTCGCCATGATGCGCAAGTGGGGGGCGCTGGTCGGCGACAGGGCGACGGCCTCATGGGCGCTCAGCTGCCCGTCGGAGCTGCCCCCCGCCACGGAGACGATCTGCTGCCCGTCGGAGATGCCCTGGACGGCGTCCGTATCGGAAGCGCTGTCCGACGCGACGACCTCGACGAGAGCCTCCACCGCGGGCTCGGACTTGCCACCTGAATCCTCCTCATCTGCTGCCAGATGCTGCCAGTCGCGGTCATCTGGCAGCACCTCGCGGTCATCTGGCAGCACCTCGGCCATCAGGACCGCTTCATCCTCTGCAATCTGGCGATCAACCTCCTTCATGCGTTCACCATGCGCCACAGCGGCAGCAATCGCCTCTGCGCGGGTGTCGGGTCTGTCATTGGGCGCCGCGAAGCTCCGCCCGCGCTCAAGGCGGCGATGCCCCTCCGATGGCGACGTCCTCATTGCCTGCTGGAACTCCGATACCTCGGGCCCGCCCTCGCGCGCATCGGTGTTGCGAGGCTCACTGGGGTCTGCCCCCCAGCGCGAGGCCGCGCTGATCGGCGGGGCGAGCGCGGGCACGGACTTGTGTCTGCGGCGGCGCTCCTGCCCAGATGGCCCAGCCATGGCCGCCGGCGGCGAAGACGGGGAGCGAGACGCGCAAGGACGAGCCACCATCCCGTGAAGGCACTACGCTCCACGAGCTCGCTAAAATTGTTTGCACCAAATGGCAACTGATCGACGATGATTACGGCGCGTTCTAGTTACTCCAGGTTTCGTAATAAAAGGGAGGGGTTCTGGACCCTCCAAGCCAAGCCAGTTCAGACCTCCCCCGTGGGAGAACCCTCCCAAACATCGTCCCCAGACCCCCCAGGCCCTCTAAGATAGCCTGGAAGAGACCCCCCCCGAAATGAGACCCCCCTCCCTTTATTGCGAAATCTGGAGTATGGTGATTGATGTAGTGATGCTTGCGGCGATGATGGTGGTTGCGGTGAGGTGCGTGGTGGTTTCGGTGATGTGATTTGACGTTATGGCGATGTGTTATGGTATTGATGTTGGTGACTAGGCTGGTTAGTTTGATCAGTGTGGCTGTGCTGACTGCGCCAGCGATGGGGGTCATGGTCACGGTTGGTGGACCATGTGCTGATTTCTTCTGGTCAATACAATTGCGCGTCGAGCGAGAGCCCATTTTGAAACGCTACGAGCTTCCCTTTCCATCCGTGCAGCTGCTGGAAGGGCGGCGATGATGACGTGCACTCGGTAGAGGCTGCTGGGGAAGTAAGGCGGACGGGGAGGACGAGAGGGGACGATGAGCGAAGGGGCGAGTTGTGGGAGGGGGTACGGGGAGGTGCACAGGGAGGGGGGTGGTGGGACAGGCGAGATAAGGGAGGAAGGGAACTGTGTGGGAAGACACTAAGCAGGGGCGAGGCATGAGGCTGGGTGAACAGCAGGGGGCCCCGCGCCCAAGCGGCAACGAGTCCTTCAACTCAGCAGGGCTGAGGTCGTGGTCGTCGGTGTTGCCCGTGTCGGCGTCGCCGTCGGTGATGGTGCCCGCGACGTCGTCGTGGTCGTCGAGCGTGCCTGGCGGCGGGTGCCCCCCGCTCGTTCGCAGGTTTATCCCCCCTCTTCGCCCCATCCCCTGTCCTCCCGCGTCGTTCTCATCATTGTCAGCACCAGGCTTGCCATCGCCCTCATCACCAACACTACGACCACCATCGCCCTCGGCATCGCCACACGTGTGTCATCACCGCCGTCATCATCACCAGCGCCGCCATCACCAGTACAGTTACCATGATAGGCATCATAGTTACAATCACCATCAGCCGCACCACCATCGTCGTCATCACCATCATCATCATCATCATCATCATCATCATCACCATCATCAGTATCATCAGCATCGGCATCATCATCATCATCAGCAGCACCATCATCAGCATCATCACTATCATCACCATCACCATCGTCAGCAGCGTCAACATCACCAACAACAATATCATTACCACCATCACCATCATCAACACTAGTATCCCCATCACCATCCGCAGCACCATCATCATCAGGATCAATATCATCACCATCATCATTACCAGACTCATCATCGTCATCGCCACACTCCGTCGTCCTAGTCACCGACCTTGTCGTCGCGATCACCATCATCGTCGCCATCCTCGCCACCAATCACATCTAACCAGGTTTTACCGTTGTTCCCACTCACCCCATCGCCCTCCATGTTTCTCCATCCGCATCTCCCCTTCCGTCTTCCTTAGCGCGCGTCGCCCTCCATCCTTCATTCATCTTTCCGCGTTCGCTCGCCCTTGTTCCGTATCCCGTTACAATGCCCCGTCCCGTTCTCCATCCTCCAGGCCATTCTTTTCGTTGCGTGCCATTCCCCTCAGCTTTCTCCTTCCCCTCCTGATCGAGCCCCCCTCCATCCGCCTCCTTCTATTCGGCCCATTTCTGCCCCTCCACCGCCTCGCCCTGCTGCTCCTACTCCTGCTCCTGCTCCTTCTCCTCCTCTTCCTCCTCCTCCTCCTCCAGTATCGCCTGGCTCTGAAGCAGCGCCGCCATCATCCACGGGGACCATCGTGACCACCTGGGCGACGTCGTCGGGGTAGTATGCGCCGCCAGAGGCGCGCCCGCGCGCCTCTGGCGGATAGCGCCTCCTATGAAGCGCAGGGGGGTGGGGGGGGAGCGACAAACATCATCACCGTCGTTCCTCCGCCCTCCCGCTTCCTCATCATCCTCTTCCTCCTCCTCCTCCTCCTGCTACTCCTCCTCCTCCTCCTCCGCATTCTCCTCCTCCGCCTCCTCCCTCCCTCCTTCCTCACCCGTCATCTCCTCCCGCTGTGCCTCTCCTCATTCGTCTCATCCCTCTTCACTCTCCATATACGTCCTCCCCTCTCCCCCTCATTCCGCCCTCCTCCTCCGCCTCCTCCTCTCCTTCTCCTCCGCATGTTCTTCTTCACTGCTCGTGCTATGCATCTTTCTCCCCCGTTAAACATATTCATGCTTCAGAGACCGATTGTCCTGGGCGGCGTGTCCTCGCGGGTCACCCCCATCAGGTGCAACAAATACCACATGGTGTCTTTCTGGGGCTCGGTGCATTGCTGGAGGGCCTATGGGCAGCCAGGTGAAGGACGCGGACATGCCGCGGTCGAACGCAATGGGGAATTGGCACGATGCATACACCGTACTATGCATGTTCTGACGTCCCCCGATCTGACGGAACAGATGACGTTCATGCTTCAGAGACCGATTGTCCTGGGCGGCGTGTCCTCGCGGGTCACCCCCATCAGGTGCAAAAAATACCACATGGTGTCTTTCTGGGGCTCGGTGCATTGCTGGAGGGCCTATGGGCAGCCAGGTGAAGGACGCGGACATGCCGCGGTCGAACGCAATGGGGAATGTTGGCACGATGCATACACCAGTGGTAATGTCAGGTCTGACGTCAGATCTGACGTCATGCCTGAGGTCGGGTCGACGTCAGATCTGACGTCAGACCGACGTCAGATCTGACGTCGGACCCTCGGACGTCAGAGTTGACGTCGGTCCGATGTCAGACCCGACGTCAGTCCAATGTCAGCGCACCATCGTGCCCGCCCCCGATGCGCTCGACCACGGCACTTCCTTCCCCGTCTCTTGACGAGTCGACGCCTGTCGCCGACGAACAGCATTGTCACGTACTCTGCGGAAGTGCTTCATCATACATACTAATTTATCTGCTAGACTTCCTCCGCGGGCAGCAGGAGAACCAGCTGGTTCTTGGGAGGCTGGGGGTGCGAGGGGGGGGGGCTGACGGGCGGGATGGGGAACGAGCGGGGCGGGGGGGGGACACGCTGACAGGAGGAGGTGGAAGCCAACGAGGTGGTTTGGCTGAACACTGAGGGGGATGGTACCAGTGGGAGGGGGACGGGCCAGCACCCTCCTGCCCCAGTCTCTGGCATGCCCCGTTTTACCCTCCACCCACACCCCTCAGCCCCCCCCTCCCCTCCCCCTCCCCCGCCTCAACCTCCTCCACCCATATCCGCCTCCCCCTTCTTATCATCATCGTTCTCCTCCTCCTTCTCCTGGCCTTCCCCCCCTCTTCACCCCACATCCGCCTTCTCACCCTCCTCCTCCAAGCCAACCCATCATCGCGCCCCCTCCTTGGGATACGCAGTCAAGACGTCGACGCACGCGTCGCGCACCTCCGTCCAGTTGGCCTCGGCGTTGGGGATGTGGCGCAGCAGCACCTCCACCTGGAGTGCGGGGTCACGTGCCCCCATCCCATCTCCCACCATTCGTCGACCCCGTGCCCTCCGACATGCGATGTTGATGGTGATGGGTACCACCGCCATCACCATCACCAGCAACATCATCATCAGCCGCATCAGCATCACCATCAGCATCGTCATCATCATCATCAGCATCATCGCCATCGTCATCAACACCATCATCATCATCATCATCATCGTCATCGTTACCATCCTCATCAGTATCATCATCAACAACATCGTCAACAGCATCAGCATCATAATCCAGCACAACATCATCAACACCAGACTCAACATCACCATCATAACCACCATCAACAACACTTAAATCACGATCATCATCATCACCACCATAATCACCGTCAGCGTGACCATCAGCATCATCAGCATCATCAGTCGCATCATCATCATCAGCATCATCATCAACAACAGCAGCATCATCATCAGTATCAGTACCAGCAGCAACATCTGCCGCATCAGCATAATACTAGTCATCACCACCACACCACCATCATCACCATCATCGTCATCATTCCCCTTCCCCCGTCAGCTTCTTCATTATCCGTACGGTTCCTCCTTCCCATCATCGCCCCCTTTCCCCATCCTCATCATCGCCTCCCATCGTCCTCCCTGCGTCCCCCCCAGCTCACACCCCTCGCCGCTATACCCCCTGGCAGCCTCGTCATCCGCCTTCGTGCCCTCCCCATCCGTCTCCCCGTCGGCCTCGTCATCTCCCTCCCCTCCGTCCCCTCCTTCGCATCCTCCTCATCCTTCTCCTCCGCCTCCCCTTCCTCCTCCTCTTCCTCCTCCTACTCCTTCGTCCCATCCTTCCCACCATCACCACCATCACCAATCATGAGATCGCAGGTGGTGTTCGAAAGCGAACCGAAATTCCCCGTCGGACCACCATGTCAGGGTCCTTCGTCATGCTGGGCGCGTGGGCGGCCTTGTCTTTCGTCAAGTGATGGTACCAACCTACGTTGAGCGAGTTCTTCGCCCCGACCCGCTCGACATATGCGAGCAGCTCCTGTGTCAACTGGCCGCGGTCGCCCAGCGGGGGGACAGGGCGGCGCACGACGCCCAAGTCCCTCGGCGAGGGCTTGGGCGAGGGGGACGGCACGGGAGATGGCGCGGGCCCGCCGCATGGCGTGCGGCGAGGGCACGGGTCGCGGCCGCGATGGCGCGACATGCGGCCTGAAACGGCCTAAGCCAAAATTGGCTGGGCGAGGGGGGGCAGCGTGGAGGGGAGCAGCGTGGAGGGGGGTGCTTGGTACATCGCCCCCCCCCCCCCCTCCGATCCACCGCCGCCTCCTCATCCTCCTAGTAATCGCCCCCCCCCCTCCTCCTCAT